GAGCCACATCTGACTTATGAGGGTTCTGGGGATCTGAATTGACCTTCTCATGCTTTCGTAGCAAGCATTTTTCCCAGAACCGTCTTGGTAACCCTTGTGTCTGAAACTTTCAGATTCCACAAAAGCACTGTCCGTCAGCTGAGCTAGCCTGAGGGATAGACATAGCCACAGGGGGAATGCAAAAGGCTTCCTGGCTGTGGAATCATTGTCCTAGAAAGAGTCACTCTGGTTCAGCCTTAGGAGCTAGCCTTACTTCCTCAGAGGAACTCTCTTAGGATTTCCTTCCTTCCTTCCTTCCTTCCTTCCTTTCATTTTTTCTGTTTTGTTTTTTGTTTTTTCGAGACAGGGTTTCTCTGTAGCTTTGGAGCCTGTCCTGGAACTAGCTCTTGTAGGTCAGGCTGGCCTCGAACTCACAGAGATCCACCTGCCTCAGCCTCCCGAGCGAGCGCTGGGATTAAAAGCTTGTGCCACCACTGCCCGGCTATGTTTTAGGATTTCTTTTTTAAAAAAAAAAATTTATTTATTTATTTATTATGTATACAATATTCTGTCTGTGTGTATGCCTGCAGGCCAGAGAGGGTACCAGACCACGTTACAGATGGTTGTGAGCCACCATGTGGTTGCTGGGAATTGAACTCAGGACCTTTGGAAGAGCAGGCAATGCTCTTAACCTCTGAGCCATCTCTCCAGCCCCTGTTTTAGGATTTCTATTGCTGTGATGAAACCATGTCCAAAAAAGCAAATTGGGGAGGAAAGGGTTTGTTTGGCTTACTCTTTCACATCACTGTTCATCATTGAAGGAAGTCAGTATCGAAACTCAGGCCAGGGACCTGGAGGCAGGAGCTGATGCAGAGGCCATGGAGGGGAGCTGCTTTCTGGCTTGCTTCATATGGCTTGATCAACCTGCTTTCTCATAGAACCCAGGATTGCCAGCCCAGGCATGGCACCACCCACAAAGGTGCCATCAATTACTAATTAAGAAAATGCCCCACAGGCTTGCCTACAGTGCGATCTTGTGGAGGCGTTTCCTCACTGAGGCTTCCTCCTCTCTGATGACTCTAGCTTGTGTCAAACTGACAGAAAATTAACCAGGACAGAAGCCAAGGTCAGTTGTCCTTCAGGGCCTGTGTACTTGTAGTTTGTCTAAGCCTGGAGCGATCCTTGTTAGAGACTCATCTAACTGCTGCCTTCTCAGCCTTCGGCTGTTTCCTGACTTCTGGTCACCCTGACTAAAGGTGTTCTGGCCCACCTGAGCTCACAGTGCCCTGGGTCATCTGTGTAAACCTGCCCACTATCTCCCAAAGTTGTTTTTATTTGCTTTTTGTGTGGCCATCTCCTAGGGATAAGCTTCTTGGTGGTTCAGGTCACCACTGGGCCTCTAGCATCCAGGGAAGCTCATGGTGCAGAAGAATGAACCCTCAAATATGCCACAAGCCACATGAGCCCATCATTGGATCATAGGTGTGGTGCTAAGTTACCATGTACTGAGAGGAGGGAGGTTGTGGGGGAAGGATTGGGGACAGTTTGAGATGGTGAAGCCCTTACCCAGGGCATGGACCGTGGTCTGGAGAAGGGTTCTTGGGAGTTTTTTCTTCAGAACTCTGGGTGCTTGGACAAAGGGGACCAAGGTAGAGTAAACAGGGACAGCCTCCAGGTGGGCCCCAAGGTGAGTAGGGATTGAAAACAACCCCAGGCCTGAGCCTGGCCTGGAGAGCAGCTGAGGTCTTTCATCTTTATCTCTACAGTGAATGCCCTGAAGCTCCTTGGAGTTTCATAGAGGCCTGCCACAGAACCTGCTTCCCTATAACCCACATCCTTTCTCCTATTGTAGTTTAGCCATGCTAGGATCCTGTTTTTCCCCCTTACACAGAGCAGGCACCCTCTTTCCCCAAGGCCTTTGCACACTGCCCATGCCTGTGCCTCCAACACCCTTCCTGCAGAGACAGGTCCACTTGCCTGACCCCTCACCGCCTTTCAAGTTTTCCTTCCCTCTTCTGTCTCTAAAAGGCCTTGAGCTGGTGAGGTGTTCTAGTGTACAGTGGAATTTGCCACGGAACCTGAGGCCTGAATTCAATCCCTCCATTCTAGCAAGTTGTCCCCTGATTGCCACACGAGCACTGTGGCTAACATGTACCCACACACTCTCACTCACACAAGGCTCTGACCCCTGGTCACCTAGGGGTCATGCAGACGACTCCCCACTCTGCTTCTTAGATGCCCTTCACTGGCTCTCACTTTTTCTCTTCTGTCCATTGTCCACCATCTTGGATCATTGTATGACCTGTTACCTTAATTGTTTAGTTGCTGTCTGGCCTGCTGGAACACAGATGCCCTGAGGACAGCCATTTGGTATCTCCCCATGGGGTACATAGTGCCTGGGCTGGCTTTTGCACACAGGTGCAGTATAGCTACCTACAGGCCTCTGCGTAGGGAGTAAACCAGAAAGAGGCAGACACGGAAAAAGGAAAGCAGCCAGGCAGTCACTGCCACGGCATTGACAAGAGGCTGTGCTGGACAAGCAGGGCATTGGATGACAAGCAATGGAAGAATCATGCTTCCAAAGAGCAAAGAATGCAGGATTTGGCGATGGAGGAGCAGTGGAGTGAGCTGGCAAGATCAAGGATTCCTGCCCAGGCTGCGTTACTGAATGGTAGAAGGGGGACAGAGGAAAGTGGCAACTCCAGGGCCATTTTCTGTTGCTGCCTAGAGACCAGGACTTTATAAATAGAAATTTATGGTGGACATGCAGGGGCATGCCTCTAATCCCAGTATTTAGGAAGCGAGAGCCAAAGGATCAGGAGTTCAAGGCTAATATGAATTATATAGCAAACTTGAGACCAGTTTGAGTCATTATCTCAGGGGAACATAAATAGGCCCCAAGATGTCTCAGCAGGTAAAAGCACTTACCTGAGTTTGATCCCTGGGACACCCATGGTGGAAGGAGAGAACTGAGTCCTGGAAGTTGGCCTCTGTCCCACGCAAGGGCCACAGAGGATACACACACACTTTAAATGAATAAACAAAGAAAATGTAATTTCTTTAAAAGATAAAGATTAAAAATTTAATCTAGGGGTGATGATGGCTCACACCTGTAGTTTCAGCACTCAAGGAGCTAAGGCAGGGAGCTTGCCGAAAATGCCTTGTCTAGCGTGGGTTGTAGGTCAGTTTGGGCTATAGAGTAAGGAGTGGGGCGAGAGGGGATAGTAATAGAGGTGCTTAGTATATAGGAGGGAGGGAGGAGGGAAGGAAAGAAAGGAAAGAGAATCTGACCACCATGTAAAGAAGAGACAGTGAGGGAGAGGCGAGGAGAAGGGAGCACAGGGGTTCATAACTTACAGTTCCAGAGTGAGGCAGGCATCTGGTGAGGGTCTCCTTGCTCTAGGACAACGTGGTGGAGGCATCGTGAGGTGAGACACAAACACATGTTATTTCCCACAGACCCACCCCCAAATACCACTAGCAATTGTGACTAGTGGGGTTACATAGCTAACGTATGGACTGGAGCATTCACTGTGGGCAGCAATGGATGTCCCTATGTCCCTGCAGGAAAGGCAGCAAGGCTAGAGGAGGGAAGAAAGATCTGGTGTTCTGTCCTGAGCAGAGGCTTTTGTAACATCTGCTTGGCACACCGTTCCAATCAGCCGGGCTAGACTGTTGAGAAGAAAGGGTATTTCTGTTCACGAGATTTTGGGGTATATTTTTCTTTTTTGAGACAGGGTTTCACACTGTGCATAGCTCACACTGCCTTTCAACTCACTGTGTAATCTTTTGTGTGTGTGTGTGACAAGGTTTCTCTGTGTGGCCTTAGCTATTCTGGAACTCGCTCTGTAGAACAGGCTGACCTCAAACTCAGAGGTCCTCCTGCCTCTGCCTCCCGAGTGCTGGGATTAAAGGCGTGTGCCATTACTGCCTGGCTCCTAGTCCAACTTCTAACGCTCAGGCACTTTCAGAGGGGATAGCAGGGGATTCCGCAGTACTGCAGTTCGTATGCCAGATGCGTCCATGCTGTCTGCTTCTGTTTTTCGGCAGGCAGGGCTGAGCCCCAGGAGCTCTGTTTTGTGGCGTACACTCAGAGAAACTCAGGCTAAATAAAGGCAGCAGTGGGTCCCTTGTGACTTTGAATGGGACAGAGAGAATATAAGTTCCAGGGTTTTCTGAGACCCACTCTTACTATATGTAGCTCAGGCTGGACTGGATCTCTCTCTCTCTCTCTCTCTCTCTCTCTCTCTCTCTCTCTCTCTGTGTGTGTGTGTGTGTGTGTGTGTGTGTGTGTGTGTGTGCGGTTTTCAAGACAGAGTTTCTCTGTGTAGCCTTGGCTATCCTGGAACTCACTCTGTAGTAGACCAGGCTGGCCTTTGCTTCCCAAGTGGGCACCACCACGGCCCAGCGGGACTGGAACTTTTGACCTTCCTTTTTGCCTCCTCCACCCCTCTCCAGTGCTGGGATTATGGGTGTGTCATCACCACCCCTGGCTTCTTATCAGTCTTTTTAATAGAGTGATAGGCTAAGCTTTGTGTTAGGTGTTGCTTGGGATTTCAGAGTGGAAGCTGTGGTTAATGGGAGTGAAGAGGAGATAAAGGGCCTCTAAAGTCAACAGCACTGCTTAAACTGCAGTACCTTGCTCCTTCCCGGGGACCTTCCTTTACGCCATTCTGGCCTAAGGATTGGAAGTGGAATCATTGCCACAGAATAGGAGACAATTCAAGTTCTACTGTCTGGGTCATCCAGGAATAGGGGAGAAACAGAGACACAGAGAGCAAAAGATGAAGGAGAGAGGACTTTCTGGGGCCTGCAGGTGGTTTCTTGAACAGGATTCTTTTTTCTTTCTTTTCTCAGTGTAGCTTTGACTGTCCTGGAACTCACTCTGTAGACCAGGCTGGCCTCGAACTCACAGAGATCCGCCTGTCTCTGCTGCCTGAGTGCTGGGATTAAAGGCGTGTGCCACAATCGCTTGGCTTGAAAAGGATTCTTACAGGGGCCCCTCATGCTAGAGGAGCATTGTTGGTTTCTGCCTCCCACATCCAGGGGCACCTCCAGGACTTACAGAGACCTGTGGGGGATTCCAGAGTCCAGTGTCCAGAGAGGGTGAATGCTATGACTTCAGCATGGTGCGAATCGCCCCCCCCCACACACACAAGGATTCACATACAGGAAGCTTGCTTTCCAGCTGTGTTGAGGTGGTGACAACTTTAGGCGGTGTGATCTGGTGAGCGGTGATTAGGTGACTGTATCCTAAAGAGATTAATGCAAGTCTCAGTGGAGTGGATTAGCTTTCTTGAAACTGGGTTCTTGCAAAGCAAAAGTCATTACCTGACTCTCTCTTGTCCCCTTCTTTATGCAACTACTATCCTCTCTGCTTCTTTGCCACATTGTTATGCAGCCCTCACGACGACACCAATGCCATGCTGTTGGAAGCTTCTGGGCATCAGAATTATGAGCCAAATAAACCTCTTTACTTTATAAATTGCTCAATCTCAGGTATTTTGTTATACCAACACAAACAGCTTGTCCAGGATCACACACTGAAATTGCCAGCCTTACAGAACAGACCCCTTGTCCTTTCCGAGTCCTTTCCAGACTGCCTGACACCCTTTCTCTTGACAAAGAGCCTAGTGTTGCCATTGAAAGAACTAAATTACCTCATTTTTGAAAGGCGTTATGAATTCAGCTCTATTATGTGGAGTGGGGCAAAGATGTCTCGAGCAGGCATGACATTGTAATTCACATCCCACTCCTTTTATTTATCTTTGCTTGGGTTTGTGTATCTTTGGAAACGGCCTTAAATCATTATTGGAACAAAGTAGGGAGAAAAATAATAATATATAATTACAAATGAGGAATACACCGTATGATCCTATTAATTACCTTCCTTGCAATCTTTATTTTTGGCATTTTGAGAATAATTAAAGGATTAGGCCTCAATTGACGGCAGTGGCGGGTTAGCCTTGAACTCTATAAACAGTAGCAGTACCCTCTAGGAGTAATCTGGTACCATCTGCCACCTGGGGCTCTGTCAGAGCAGCATGAGGGGTTTGCTCTGCCAGTATACTCTGAATATTTATTTACTCTGCTCTGAAGAGAAACTGTGGCAATGGTTGGAAAATAAACCCTAAAGAAAGGAAGAGGCAGAGGAGAGGGGAGAAAGCATGCGGCGTTAACCATTGCCAGCAGACCTAGTGAAGAGGACCATGGCTACTTCAAAAAAGAGAGAAGCTAAATTCTCTTCAAGATTGATCTCTCCTCCAAATCCTTTGTGCCAGCAAGCAGGCCAGGAAGGTCCCAGTGTAGCCACTGGCACCGAACCCATGAAGGCATTCAGCCTTCATTCTGGAGTTTCTGCCAGCTTTATCCTTGGCTTTTCATGCCACAGGAGGAAAAAAAAAAGGCTTCTCCTAGGGACCAGGCAAATAAATTCACTGCAGGACAATGATGTCCTTAGGGGACATCATTTGCATGGCAGGATGCAATGAAGGACATTGACATCAGAGCCTGTTTATGATGAGCCCAGCAAATTCGCTGTCCATGGGTCCTAGAAAGTGTGACATTTACTTGCCCATGTCCCACCATGAGGACAGGGGAAGCAATGACTTGGGTAGCAGTTGGGTTTGGGGGAATCAGGTGGTGAGTATCTAGGCAAACCGTTATGTTTAGTCTCTAGGCATTCATTCCCTCATCTGTGAAATGGTGATTGTAGTTTTCTGTAGGAATGAGATCAGTGTATATTGTATTTGGCAGACAGAAAGAAAGCCCTTAGGAAACTGAAGAAAGTTAATCTGCTCCCCAGATCTCAAAAGCTTCAGGAGAGGAGTTGGGTGGAAGGGGCATGGGGACCCCTTCCCATTCTCTCTCTCTCTCTCTCTCTCTCTCTCTCTCTCTCTCTCTCATTGTAGCAGTGGTGACAAGGACTTTTTGCTTGTTTGCAGGGCTAGAAATGGAACCTAGGGACGTCACACATGCTCAATAAGTGCTCTACTGGCAAGCTGGATCTGGTCCAGCCAGCCCTAAGAGTGATGATGTCCATGGAAGCTTAAAATCCAAGAAACTTACCCAGGAGTGGGAACGGACAAAATGGGTCGTAATATCATCCATTGCAGAGCCACAGTTTAGTATCATCAGGAAGGAGAATAGAGAGGTTTTTCAAACTTCATTCCAGGGTCTGTTTGCTTTGTCTGAGGAGTAAGTCTTTGCCTTGAGTTTCCTGAGAGGAAGGCACTCTTCAGTCTTCATGGAGATGCATTTGCTCAGGTTCCCATGGTGGGCAAGATGGATCAGTTGACACCTGCTGATCCTGAAAGCAAAGAAACACCTTGTATGACATTTACTGCAGTTGGCAAGTGGCCAGGATGACCCAAGAAAGATGTGATTGGAGAAGCTGCATAGGATTTGGTCCCAGAAGCACTTGGTCTGCGGAAACAGTGCAGATGCCTGACTGAGAAGCCATGTACTCGCTCTATGTTGCATGCCGGAGGGGTGCGAAGTTAGGGGAATCCCTGTGGCCACACGTCCTAGATTAGCCATATATAGGTTTGGGGTTTTTTTGGGGGGGAGGAGGGGTAGTTCTAAGAGCTTTAGTTTCCTCAGCTGTAAAGTAGATGGTAGTGTGTAACCACAGGGTTATTAGGGGGCACAATCGAGATTGCATGGAAATGTACCTAGTAAAGAACTGGAAGGGAGCGAAGGTCCTCAATAAACAGTAGCTATTTTTATCCTATACGAATTATTCAAACAGACTCTCGTGCTATGAAGAATAGCACAGCGACATAGTTCCTGTTAGGAGGTCAAAGGCATGGAACTGGGAGAAAAAGACTCAGTGGCCCAGTGCCAGTTATGACCAGAGCCCACATTGATGGGCCCTGAGGGTCTTGAGGAGGAAGAGCCTACAATTTTTGGCACCAGGTAACAGCTGAGTTAGCTGAGCATGGTGGTGTGTACCTGTAACCCTAAGCTATACAGTTAGACCCTGTCTTGAGTGATCAGGAATAGGCAAGGAATACTAAAGGGGTTTGGCTTGATCTTGGCTAAGGGCTCCTGATGTCACCTGGAGATGATATTTTGCACTTGGGAAGACTAAGGGGCCTCCTAGGGATCTTCCAGAAACATGTGCACCCAAGTAAGTCACTTGGCTCCTCTGACCAAGAAAGAGCTGTGTATATTCATCTCATGCTCCCGTGGGTCTTTCCAGATGGTATTTCCTCTTCTTGCCTTGTACTTGACTTAGCTAATTACTTCTGCCTCAGTCTTCCCCAGAACCACAGATCCACTCCCTGCACATTAGCACCACCCCTACAGCTGTCTTGCTTTCTTGAACTTGCTTCAAATATCAGCCTGTGCTACATACAGAATAACAATGTATCAGGCATTCAATCATTCATTCATTTATGTTTCATTCAATCTTTCTTTCATTTTTGTTTTTGAGACAGAGTCTCACCATGCCTGCCTGGAACTCATTATGTAGGCTGTGTCGCCTGCCTCTGCCTCCTAAGTGCACCATCAAACTGAGTCTTTGTTTTGTTGTTGTTTTTTGAAACAGAGTCTCTAATGGCCCAGGCTGGCTCCCAGCTTTCTATGCAACTGAGGATGACCTTGAATTTTTCTTTTCTTCTTCTTTTTTGTTATTGTTGCTTTTGGTTCTTTGAGACAGAGTTGTTTCTTTTTGTAACCTTGACTGTCCTGGAACTAGCTCTGTAGACCAGTCTTCCCTCAAACTTACAGAGATTCACCTGCCTCTGCCTCTGGAGTGCTGAGGTTAAAGGGGCCTTGAATTTCTGATCCTCCAGCATCCACCTTCAGAGTTCTGGGATCACAGAAGTGTGCCACACCCAATTTTTTAAAAGTGTATTTCTGGGGTTGCTAGGGGTAGAAATCAGGGCACTGTAACGAGTGAGTGACATCCCCAGCCCTGGTTTGTTTTTGTGGCAAGGTCTAGCAATGTAACACCAGCTGGAGTGTACTGTCATTCTCAGCTGTAATCAAGTTATACATAGTATGCATGTGCTAGGTACCATGATTGGCGCTAGGAGGGTACAGTCTAGAAAGCTAACAACAGAAAGAGCTTATTCAGGAGCCGCCAGCAGGCCTGCTCAAATGATGAGGCAGTCTGTGGCAAGCAGTGAAATGGTAGAAAACAAGTTGCTAGGTCAGAAAGTTTAGGTTTGTTGGTCTGTTATTTAGAGACATGACCTCACCATGCTGCTCAACCTGGATTGGAACTCAATATGTAGCTCGGGCTGACCTGAAACTAGAGGTCCTCCTGCTTCCCTCTTCCCAACTACTGATGTTACAGATGTGACCGCACACCTGCCTAAGAAGTTTGAGATTTGTTTCAAATGTGACAGGAACTAATGAAGGTAGTGCTATCTGGCACGCCGCGTGTTTGATTTTAGTTTTTAAAATTCACTTATTTATATGTGTGTCCCTGAGTGCTTATGCAGCACAGGCTGAATGTGGAGGTCAGAGGACAACTTTCGGAAGTCAGTTCTCTTTTTCCACCACGATGCTCATGGGACTAGAACTCAGGCTATTAGGCTTGGCAACAGGTACTTTTAGCCGATAAGCCATCTCACCAGCACCTAGTTGATTCATCTTTTGAAACGTGATTTTGCCTGGCCTTGAATTCATAATCCTTCCTACTTCCTAAATACTGGGATTGCAGGTGCTCACCACCAAGCCCAGATGCAGCATGTTACAAAAAGGCCTGTCTAGCTGCTATGTAGGGGATGGACTGGAGGAGCATGAGAAATGATACCTGGAATTAGAACCCTAGGTCATCCAGGCAAGAGAATGAGATGGTCTGGCCTATAGTTACTGCAAAAAGTTGAAGTTTAGGTAGAATACCGAAAGTACAATTAGTTGTATTTACCAGAGTGCTTCAGAGAAGCAAGGAAGAAGGTGAAGGAGGGGACTTATTCTCATGTAGGATTTTGTGTATGGCTGTGTAGTGGGGGGTGATTAAGAACATGGGACTCTGGACAGAGGGCTGCCTATGTTCGAATCCTGTTGGCACAAATTCCCGTGAGTGTTCTGAAGTCCTTTACTTCAGTTTTTATATGTGACCCGTGGATAGTGACTACCTGCTTTACTGAATAATTGCAAGAATTCATAGACAATTTATATTGTGTGCTTGGTTACCTAAAAACCACTGTGCAAATGTTAGCTGTGGTTATAAGCTGAATATGGATGCCAAGGTGAGCTATCTGGTCTGCAGTTTGATATGGTGGCCTGGAACTTGGGAAAGAACAAACCAAGAATCACCAAGTGAGAGTATTTAAAGTCATAAACGGGGATGAAATTTGTCCGTCGGGGGTTATCCAGGCCCAAGACCATCGGAGGAGCAGAGACAAGAGCCCAGAAAGAAACTGAAAGGGACTCTCAGTCTGGAAAAAATGCCCTATATTCTGGCACCAGGAAGCCATGCCTTTGGGAAGTTAAGGAAGACATGGATTGAAAAAACTGGGTGGTGGCACACTTTGATTCTAGCACTCAGGAGGCAGAGGCAGGGAAATCTCTTATGAGTTTGAGGCCAGCCTGGTCTACATGGTGAGTTCCAGGACAGCCAGGATTATGTAGAGACACTGTCTCGAAAAACAAAACAAACACTCCCTGCCTCAGCATGAAGGATGTGTCTGGTTCCCAGTTCTTTCTGCAGAATACCTAGGGAGGATGGCTAGAATGGTGTGATAAATGATGATGTATTATATAGTCACAAACAAGGACCATTTCCCTAAGCTGATAGGAAGTCATACGCTAACTGTCTGTACCTGTAAATCTGCTTGGAAGGCTGATGCAGGAGGATTGCTTGAGCTCAGGAATTGAAACCAGTTTGTATAACCTAACCAGCCCCCCCCCACGCATATTTTGGCAGCTGCAAGATGTAGCATTAAGTTTTCCTGAATAAAGAACAGAATAGTTTAGGCTAATAAATTTGGAGCATAGGCACTGCTGGAGGTCTATGACCCACCCTCAGGGGAAGCTACCATAACCCATGCTTTTTTTTTTTTTTTTTTTTGGTTTTTTCGAGACAGGGTTTCTCTGTGGCTTTGGAGCCTGTCCTGGAACTAGCTCTGTAGACCAGGCTGGTCTCGAACTCACAGAGATCCGCCTGCCTCTGCCTCCCGAGTGCTGGGATTAAAGGCGTGCGCCACCACCGCCCGGCCAACCCATGCTTTTTTAAAAAACAAAAACAAGAACTGCAACATAACCATGCACAAAGCCGGGTGTGTTTCTCTCCTTACCACAGACTCTGCTGGCTTCCCAAACAGAGCTGAACTCTTCATGCAGGGGGGATCCAAATGGTTGATACACAATTAATTACATTGTTTAGAATCCTATGCTTTGTTTATATGTTTATGTTTGTTTATAAACAAACAAAAAACTTGGAAACCAACAAATAGGAGGAAGGAAATGAGCCTGGTGTGGTAGCCCCGGCCTTTAATCATTATACTAAGGAGGCAGAGGCAGGCGGATCTCTGATGTTAGCCTGGTCTTAGAAAACAGATACACGAAGTCATCTGAGGCCCCGAAAGATGTGTCAGGGGAGAAAGTAACACTACAGAGTCATAATGGAGCCTTCTAGATTTGGAGACAGGAGACAGCTAGGAAGAGACTGGTGTTTATATTAGCAGGTATAGAGGTGACTTTAAAGCACCAGCAGGCTGTTCTGGGTGCTGTGGTGACATCAGGATAGATGGTTGGCTTTCAGCAAGACAGGTAAGCTGCTTTTACAAGTTACCTGCAATAGTGCTAAAAAGTGGTTAAGTTTGTCACAAAGATACAAGATCTGGGGCCCTTGATAAGACGTTAGCTTGTGCGTGGGTGGGGGTGTGTGGAATTGTCAGAAATTTATGTATTTTTTCCCATAGGAGATGACATATATGACCTGAAAGACTTTGGGAAAATTGAAAATAAAAATCCCTAGAATTTATAGCCCTGATGGTTTTGCTGATGGTCTTGTAAATTGTATATTTAATCAAAGGCACTTGAATGTCTCTTTTTTTAACTATTGAAGAGCCATTTAAATGTCAACATAAGTGATTCCCTCCCAAATAGTGCTGTTTAGACATTAGTT